AATGGTTGAAAGGAAAATAAATGACAAACACACTTTGTTCTCAGTCGTACACAAAATTATATATACAATTGTCCCATGCAGAGAAAATATAATATGTGACTACACAGCAAGCAGTGTGAAAGGAGAATGAAAAGATAAGACAGGAATTGGAACTGTCAGAGCTATATTAAGGGTTCCAGATTTGAGAGGGCTGGATTTATCTGCAATGTCACTAGCAATGACATATTCCACAAACGGGAAATGGCAAGTCCTGACTTTTTCTCAAATTAAAGACTGTGAGTCGGAGATATTTTCTGTATGTGGTGAAGATATATTTCCATAGAAAAACAGGGCCATAGGCTTGTAAGCTGCACCACGTGGGAGATGATTCTCCCAGGCAGAAGCCCAGGCAAGGCAACTGCTCAGTTTGACTCCTTAAAGTAATTGGAGGACTGCAACTTTCATCACTATGCAGTGATGTAATTAATCAGCCATCACATGACTTATCTTGACCAAAGGGAGATAACCACCTTTTGTATCCCTACAGTTGGTATTACTTTTATGCAATATATCATGGGATGCATAGATGGTCAAGTTACTGTGTCAATTAAGATTTTAATGTGTCAGGGATGAAGGACACACATCTACCAGCATCTCTGTACAATATTCATTTGCAAAATTCAAAATCTCTGTTTCAGCTGCAAATAACCCACAAATTGTTGATAAGGCATAAAAAAACAAATCAATTAATTACCACAATATTCAAATTGTTTTACCACCTATGATCATTATGTAAATTAAGGTCAACTTCAAAAGTAAAAAATCCTTGGTTTATAAACAGTAACTGTACACTTGTAAGCTGATTATATTTTACTGGAAGTACTTTATCAGTTTCAAATAAAGACAAGACATTTTCCTCATCAAAAAGAAAATGCTTTACAAAAGAAAATTAACCTTCTTTTTTTTTTTTAATAATTAACAAACCTAATTAAATTTCCTTAACTGAATGTGAGAATAAATGTTAATTAGTCATATTTGAATTAATGAGCATATTGGTAGTTTTTGAGTGTTTACTGAAGAGTGATGGATATTTACCTAGATTTTTACTTGTGTGTTCAGTCCTTAGGACAGGTGTTGGCCACATCCAGCCTGCAGAGGATTTTTGCCTGGCAAACCAACCTTGTTTAAATAATATAACATTAACTTTCTTGTTGATTTTTTCCTTAAATCTCCAGACCAAGGCAGACTTCCAGACAGAGCGGTCTGAAGATGAAACTATTATAGTGTATTTGATATCATGGCCCTGCTCCAAGACACTGCATAGCTGTCTGGCCTGCTCTTTCCAAACGGTTGCTGACTGCTGCCTTAGGAGATGCACTGGACCCAAATTGAATTACTTCAACAAATGTCAATCTCAGTTCCCTTTAAGGAAACCAAGTGAACTGCTCTATTATTACAGTCATTGCCTACTAACTGGTGATACCTAATTAGGTTACCAATTTAGTGTAAAGGAATTGATGCAAGATTATACTTATAGAATCGAGGCACAATTATAATTATAGAATTTCATTGTATGTTATCAGTAGCCAGAACATTTCATCACTGTCTAATTACCAGACTGCAGCAACATTCTATTACTTGTTGATACAACAGCCTGTTGAAACAACCAGATGTGAAACAAACTCACTCAACACCAACCCAAATCCAATGGAATCAATTGATAACAGCTAAGCAAACAAAAAAATGATTTTAATGTCAAACTTTTGATAGACAAACAAAAATAATCTTTACATAATTTTGTTCATACTTCTGTTAAAGCTGAAAAGTGTACAGACATAAGAGTCAACAATATTAAAGAAAAGTAAAATTGCTGAGGAGAACCAAATTTTTCATGAAAAGTGGGAATATTTGTATTTTGTGACAGGTTATCAACTGTCATGCAAAATGTGGGACTGTCCCACATTTAATGTCTCCCACATTAACATGTTTCGGTCCCACATTTTGAGAACTGAGGATATGTTTTAAAAATTATTTGTAAATTTTGTTTTTTGTTAAAGATGTACACACAAACAGCTGGAATACATACAAAATCTTGCTTTCCTTCCTTTCTCTCTTTTTTACTTTCACAATTCCTATTACTTGAAAGCTTGAAATTGCCTCATTGGTTTAATTTACTTGATTTATTTACATTATTCAAACTGTTATCCTCATCTTCATTGCCATATTCACAATGTTTCGGCCATTGTATGCTCTGGCCTTCTTCAGGACATTGGAATTCCAAAATGAACCTTTTTATTTCGTCCACCAGGGTAGATTCTAGTTCCACGTGCCATGCCTCTTCCAGATGTTACGGTAAGACTACAAGAAAATTGTAAAGTGATAACATGAAGGGAAATAGAAAAATCAAGTGTAGCTGACCACATGTTGAGGGAAAAGGGATATCACCACCCCCTGTGGAATGAAGATAAAATAATAGAGATCATCACTGGAAAATACAAAAGCTTAAGGAATTGGCACATATGCTGGGCCACAAAAATCTCCTGAGCAAACCAAGCATAGAAATTAATACAATATGAGAACCAGTAATAAGGATTGCTAAAGAGAAGCAATGACTAACAACAAAAATTGCAATATACTGGTGAAATGGTAAAAAATGCAATAATAGTAACAGAAAAATTGCACTGGTAAAACATAGTTGCTGAGACATTAGATTTATAAGTCCCAAAAATCCATACACAGATATCCTCAAAGACACATGGCCCAGTAGATAAAGGCATTGGTTAGATCCAGCGACTGAACCCAAAGAGTTGTGAGTTCAATACCAGGCAGCAGCAGTGGTGAACCAAAGCTTAGAGTGTTGAGTTAAAGTAAATAACTGAGATATTATGGCACATGGAACTAGAACAATCTACCCCGGTTCAAAATTCCAATCACCTGAAGAAGTCCAGAGCATACAATGGATGAAACGTGAATATGGCAATAAAGATGTAAATAATGTAAGTAATCATAATACCCCATATACCTTGACAGAGATATAGAACCTGTGGACGACATCATTAGGAACCCTTCCACAGAGTTTGCACTTCTTCCTCATAATAGCCCTTTTGTATCCTTGAGTTTAAGACTTTTGCCTTAGAAGAATAAGCATAAAAAGGAAGGCAAACTAATTCATGTGTAGTTAGTTTCAACACTTCTAAAATAAATTAAGATAGGTTACACTGTCAAGAAAGTGGATCACTACATGCCCTCCCTCACTTCTAACATGTTAAAAATGCCGGAAATATAGGCATCAGATAGTCAAATATTTTGGATGATCAACATGTAAAAGATGCGGACAGGAAGACCCTGACCATCCTAATAGATATTGTGATAGCAATTGGATGCTCTGTCTTGGGGATAAACATATGAAGAAATATGCAAAATCTGGAGGGAAGAAAAGGACATCATGGAGGTGAAATATAGAAGAAACATGTCATTCCCAGCGGCACAAAAGATAGTCAGAACTCAGACCAGAAATTTGGGTCAACCAGATAAATAAAAAGCATTCATGAAGAAATGACTAAAACTAGGATTGGATGGATGGCCAACATGCATAAAAAGAACATCAGGAAAAAACAAACAAATTTTCTACTGTTAATCCCCTCAAAGCCAAACCTACCAAAAAGCCAAAAAGTATGAAACAAAATAATGAAATACAAGAAAACAGGATATAGTCTATTCCCCAAACAAAATGTGAACTCAACACTACTTATGATCAAGCTAATGGAAAATGATGCACTGTGGACATGGGGAGAATCAATAGTAGGAGTTGTACATGGTGTAAATTTCTTAGTGTGAACAGTGGAAAATTTTTTGAGGTTGATGGTCTGGTGGTACGCAAAATACTATTGGTATTTGAGCTGTCAGATTGGATTAATGTTGGATGGTGTTTCTATTACATGATTAGGGTGCATTACAGTTTTTATACAGAGGCAACAATTTAGTTAAATGAGCCCAATTTCAGCAGAGTTTGATTGGCCATAGAATATTTGGACTACAATCTGGTCAAAAAATCAGATGCCAGAAGACCTGCAAAATACAATGTGAGAATAGCCCATGCACAACCAAATCTGAGATGATTATGAGCAATTGAGCATGAGCTCCAAAGCTGGATAGACAAATGGCTGGTTGTCTCCTTACCCTAAGGAGAAACTCCTAAACATTTGTTTGTGCTGATGGATTTGGTTCAGCATAATAAATCAAATTTACACCTGGTAATGGACTGCTGGGAGTGTTGATGCATTCATAGCCAGCACAAGCATCTTTGAAACTATATTGATAGAGTGGAATTAACAGGGCTCAAATGTGTCTAATGAGATCTGAAGAAGGCTTACTGTCATGTGCGTCCAAGAGCTGCTGTGGATATTCCAAACAGTAATGATGAAAGGTACTGCCTAATATGACTGAGATTTGGTCTCAATGTAAGTCCAATGATAATGATCTCCATCATTAATGTTGTGCTGTGCCAAAAGGAGTTGATAAAGAGCTACATCAAGATACATTGACACTTACATTAGTGAGGATACTGTTCCTGTGATGGATGTCAGTGAGCACTTGTCATGCTTTGAACTATTCAGCAAAGATCCCACTTTTTAAGAAAATGGCATGAAAGTACTATACATGGAAGTCTAGTGAGAGAGCATCATCTGCAGTGAAATTGAAGCATGGTCGCAGACATCACCCACATGATCATACAGCAAAGCAAAATTTGTGAAACATATCCCAGTATGTGGGTGGCTTCATGTGGCAACTGGAGTCATGCAGAACAAGCATGATTGTAGGAAAATTACTTTCTGTCATCATATTCTCTCTATTTTTTTTCTATGCCAGAATTGTGCTCAAACACCAATGCATTTCACAACAAAATCTGCTGGTAAATTTATGTTATGAAAGTATATTGAAACATTCTTCAGGTATTTAAATACTTTTCTGTTGTAGATTTTATTTTACTTTCTATTCTAAGAATTGTTTCCTCTTTGCAGCCTGCAGTAACGTATACCTGAATGTCCTTGAAACTGGTGAAAATGATGACAGCTTCAGTCAGGACACAGCCAGTACCTCATCAAGAACTCTGGATTCTGCAGTGCTTCCATCTCCTTCTTCAGCATCTGACCATCATACTGGTAATGGACAAACTGCCCAAGCAAACAATTAGAACAAAATCTGACAATCATCAGCTTTAAACATATTCTTGATATTATTTCTTTTTTTAAAATCAATTTTTTTCATCAATAGAATGAACTAGTTCTTTCATCATTCATTTGAATAGAATTTTGTATTGTTTTTGAATGGGCTAACTTTGTGTAATCGTTTTATCAAGAGGAGATATTGGAGATAATACTTACATCATTTAAAAATATAAATGTTGAAAAAGCAGGCAAGAGAAATGATTTTTGAAGTCAAAATGTTAGACATTTTGAATGTCCAAGAATATTTCTAAAATGTATAGGACAAATTTAGTATGTATTATGAGGGAAGGGCAGCCAGTATGTTTTTCTTGTGTGGCATTTAATATTCTGTATTTTTTACTTTCATAACATCTCATTTAAAATTTACCCTCTCTCTTTTCAGTTTAAATTTTTGTATTTTTTAATGCAGAGCTGTCTGTGCACTTCATAAGGATTTTTCCCATTTTTTTTCTTTTTAAAACCCTTGACAACAAAATTTCTTGTTATTTAAAAAAATAAAAAAAATGACTAAACACTAATTGAAAATTGTAATAACAGATTCTATTATTCTGTACATGCTTTGCTTATACTAATTGTAATTATATTAACTAATGTTTTGCTTGATGTTATCTGACAACTTATAAAAATTAATTTGAAGCTTTGAGGTGGGAAAAATTATTAGAAGTTAATTTTGAGTTAATTATTCATATGTGACAATGTATATCTGTAGGAATACTCACACATAATATAAATATGAAAAATTATTTGCTATTTAAAGATTATAACTGTATGTCCTGCATTTATTTTCTTTATATTTATAATATACTAGAAAAGATCTTAGTCCATAATCTGGCCACTTGGTCTAACCAAGAATTTTTCATATTTTTGGGAGGTTGCTAACATTAGTTGACAACTGCCACTAAATAAAACTCGGAAGATAACTTGGAAGATGAGGTCAATAACTACTGTGCTACAACAAACACATATAACAAAAACATATTGAAATGGAACTATGGACAGTTTGTCTGATAAGATTGTTACTGAAAATAAGTATTGTAAAATAAATTTAAAACATTGCCAATCTAGTACTATGCTTAAATTCATAGTCTAGGTACCAAAGTGGAACCAATTACTATGAAAATATTTATAAAAAGGGCACATAGAAACTATACTCGGTCAACTGCAAAGTGACTGAAACTGAGATGCCAGGTCAAGATCAATAACATTGCAGATTCTTCTTTGAATCTTATCAAGGATCTTTAAATATATAGCAGAAGCACCAGGCTAGATATGGCAGCAATATTCAATGCATAAACAAATGGTAGACTTAAAAAGGTGTAAGTTTCTGGTGAGAAAATTTCTCTAGCACAACACAGTGAACAAACTTTTCTAACAGCAGACCTAGCAATTGATTCACTATAATCTTTCCACTTCATGCCTGAGAAAGTTTGAATAAAATGAGAAAACCAGATGCAGAGGAAAAAGTTTGGTATGGCAGATTATCTCTGAAAAGAGAAGGGTTTATATTACACTCTGTGCAATGATCTAATAATAGAAAACATGTTGAAAGGTGCAGACAAAAATTAGATCATTATGAATTGCTTTATTCATCAAAGTGAAAATTAGAGAGTATCTCTACATATAAAAAAAAAAAATTTAAAATCACCTATGCTACCCAGATTGTTGTGAGTGCAATTGCTTGTGAATTACTGGAATGAGTTTGGTTTGTTGGATTTGCCACTTTTTTTTTTTTTTTTTTTTTTTTTAAAAAGAAACTTGACTCATTACAGTTTATACCTTTTGAAGATGGTTGTAGAATGGCTCAGTCAAACATGCAACAATAAAAGTAATAATATGAATTCAATTGCTTAAACAACCTATTTTTTTTTCCTTGGTGTTTTTTATAAATCACAATGCATATAAATATGCATGGACACCATTGTTCTATTCTATATGTGTCAAAATCATACGTTTTTACAGCATTGTTCAGCAAATACTGCAGTCAGCTTGTTTTGTATCTTTTTATGTCTTACTCAACAGTGATTGGTAAACTTTTTTTTCAAAAGTGAGCACTCAATGAAAAACAAATTATATTTTACAACTAATTATTTCATGCAACTATTAAAATGGATTGTAATTGTCTACCTTTATTTGTTAAAACATAAAAATGCTTAAAATAAAAGATTAAGTAAAAAGTAAATGTTTTTTTCTTTTCTTTTACTTATGGCTTCCATGAAGGTTTTACTGTTTAAAATTTTAATTCTCCAAATTGACTCTAAAAGACAATTAAACTGGCTATTGGTCATTTCCATTACTGCAACGTCACCTTTTAGGATAGGATAAAACTCATTCCACTAAACTGAAAAAATGAAATGACTATTTTATAAGTGGTATGATTAATATTATTGTTGTTCATAAGGTTGAAATAAGAACAGAATTGACCATTCTTGATTGTCAACCATATATTATCTGGCATCATCTCCATTAGTGTACTATATAGAAAATACTGAATGTCTATTCACGCTTATGAAAAAAATAATGTTCAGAAGTATTATGCATTTTTTTCTATTGAATGAGTTAATACATGTTTATTAATCATTATCATCCACTTGTTCATGGATATTTTCAACATCCTGCCCTCATGTTCCAACTTCATGAAGTAAATTTTTATACAAATTAAAAACAATGACATGTTTATATACTCTTGCTGAAGCATTTGACTGTATACCATCAGTTAAATATCTAATTACCATTGATATTTAATGTTAATGATTGATGTTTGAAGTGCAGTCGAGAATTACTTCAAAATACTTAGCTGTGTTGATTAGTAAAATGATTTCTTGAAGAACAGCTTCACATATTAATAAACTATTTCTGGATGTTATTTTCCAAAATAATGATCATGTATTTCCTTGTTCTGGATTTTCTGCAATTGAACTTACATTATTGGATCATCTTTTGTAACACCAAGAATATTTCCATATTCCAATGTGTCCTTTAGAGCTACAGAATGGCAACTTCCTTTCAGAAAGAATTGATAGTTCATCTGTTGCTGTTCATTTACCCAGAATGATGACAGCTATTGACACGCTCTAAAACTAACTGCAAAAACCAGATCAGAAGTGAAAATAGTGGTCATATAACTTCTGCTGACTATTAGGTAGTGATTAGTTGTCTTCCTGATCATTGGCAGCAGTTACTCTCTCAGTTATTGACCAATGCATTGGTCGCTGGAAGATGAAATGGTTTTTCTACAATCCACTCTAAGCAACTGTATGAAGTTAGTGATTAGTACTGACTGGAACTGTACCATGATTTATAATGTTGAATACACTACATTTGATGACACAATTGGGTAGTAGCATATGTGATTTCATCTATGATGCCCAGAAGCAGGCTTTCAATGATGCATGCTTGATACACTGAGAATTAATTTTTCTGATGAAAATACTACTTGAAGCTGCAAAAATCAGTTTTTAACATTATCTGGGCTACAGAGAAAAAAAATTTTCATGGTTGCCTCTATCAATGGTGGTTCACAGTTAATTTATAGTCAGATTTAAATGCTAGCCTTTTTTAAATTTTGCCGCACATATAGAGATTAATGGTGATAACTGATTTCTTAAGTTTGTGGTGTCTATGTGAGACTGTGTGGGTCAAACATAAGTCAAATTTCAGTTCTGAATATAGTATGATGACCGCATCATCAGAGAATGGATAGCATTAATTCATTGATTCTTATTTAGTTTGATTGTCTCATATAACAAGACAAAGAGATCCACTTTGAAACAGTCGCTTAGCTTCTAACTGTTCCATAAATCATGTGTTATGTACATATGTATGATTGCTAAACATTAATATTCCCAATTACATCCACAGATGGTTCCTGTTTTTTCATATTGGCTCTGTAAGACAGTTTTAATGGCTCTTTAATTAGATGACAAATGCTTAAATTTTGCTTGGAAATTATCATCTTATTTTTCATTTTTTATTTTTCATTATCATTCTTTTTCATATTTTTCATAAAGAAGAAAAAATCATCACTACTTAAAGTAGTGATGATTTTTTCTTCTTTATGTGCCATATCCCCTCAGGACATAGGTGATCATGGCTCTCCACAACTTCTTGTCCTTTGTAGCTCTTAATAAATTTTGTCTTTTTGTTATTTCCCCTAAATCCTGTTCTGCCATCCATTTACTCAAGCTCACTATGTTAAGCATTGTTTTCCTCTGTCCCGCTTGCCTTTAATCTGTCTTGTGAGTATCAGACTTTCCAAGACCCTTTTTCTCATTATGAGCCCTAGAAATTTTAAGTCTCATCCTGTTTCCTTTTTGCTTCCATTTACTCTAAAACTTTGTCATTGTTCACATGTTCTGTCCATGGTATCCTCAGCATTCTACTGTAGAACCACATTTCTGTTACTGCAAGTCTCTTCTTCACCTTACTGTGTGTGTGTGTGTAATCATTATATATATTATTATATGCATGGTACTTATTGGAAAGTGCTCAATATCAGAGATAGAACTAACATATTTAGTTGGATTGATGTGAGTTTGTGACCCTGGGTTTCACACTTTTGTGATCATCAGACAAAGTGATTATTTTTTTTAAAATTTGAGATTTATGTAGGGTTGCGTGTACTGGTGTTTTATGGGAGTGGGAGGAAAAATTGTTGGGATGCCACTCATACTTACGTAAACATACATACACGCCCATACACCCGTTGAGTTACGCAGACACACATACACACACTCACCCACTGGAGCTCACACAGACATAAACATGTGAACAGTATGAGACTTGGCATATATATGTATATGTGTGCTGCTGTGTACATACATATGCATTTGATTGCTGAATTCAATGATGGATTGTGTAGCAAATAATTTTCCTGAATGTAGTGATGTCAACACGCAGACAGTTTTTTATTTTTTCACTAAATAATATTTCCTCGTATGCACGTATATACATATGATGGGGTCTGTGT